ATCATCTAAGTACGATTCCCATCATTTGGCTTTGTATGGCAAGGGTTCTTCTGAGCGAAGTGGAAGTAAGACACGGCTGTGTCCTTCGGATTCCGCACAATGTGTATTGTCTGTAAAACGATAGATAATATTTATATTTGTTGACAACAGTATAACTTGGACCGTGATATGCAAATATCTTGGAAAATGTCTACAATTAAGATACGAACAGAAGAAACGATGTAAAAATTGATCTGTGATTCAGTCATTCTCTGAATGTTTTTGTTTGTACTATGCTTAGATTTCTCGGTAACTTGGCTTTCGCCATTTATACACTCACTTATAGTGAATAGTCCAAACACTAATAGTGAAATTGGTCACCAGGTAATCCCTAAGAAAACATGAATACGCATATGCACTAGCACATTGCCTCATATCTTAGCTTTCAAATAGGTTGTTCATATAGTAGAATGCTTAGTAACTTTTGGAGAATGTATGTATCGCAGATAAATGTTCATGTTACGACGGCCTCATGAAATTGTAATCAACATGAATCCAGACTGATTCAAGTTGTCTGCGGAAGAGCTGATGACCCCATACAATGAAGTATACTCCATAACAACATTACTCGAGTTATTGTAGTTTTTAGTAACCGTACTGCTGCACTTTCCAAAATGTGTTGTGTCAATAAATATACTTGTATGTAACAACCTTCGTGATAATTATTCGTTGTGTAATACCTTTGGTTTCTTTTCAAAATACTGAGTTGGCAATGGTCCCGGTTGTAAGTGTGTAGCGATGAATCGCTTCTGACTCGGTGGTATGGCGATGATGTTGTCTATGGACATGTTACCTATAGGTAGATAATAATAGCTGGGTTCAGAAATGACTTTTGATGGCGATACAGTCAAGATTATACCAACAGCGATCTCAGACTCTATAGTAATCTAAGCTGTAATATATCACTGACATGTAAAGGACGACGTCGTTAATTCATTGCACGGCAATCGTGCACATGTTGCATTAACTTTTATGTTAATCGGCG